TAAGAGGCAGAAAAAATAATTAAAGTTAACGTAACATCAGCATGATCAAGCTATCAGAAAGAAAAGATTACCTAGTAAACAGCTGAGCATGAAGCTAACATACAATTATTGAGGCTGAGCTGAATGAATGAATGAATTAATATATAGATGCAAACAGCTATATGGAAAAGATAAACAAATGAGTGAATGCATGAATATATTAATGAGTGAGTGAATGAATGAATGGATTAATGAATAGAATAGATAAATAAGATAAATGACTGGATGTGTAAATAAATAGATGAAAAAAAATGAATCAATGAGGGAAATAATGAATGAATGAGTGAATAAAACAATGAAGTGACTGAAGAAATTAATTGATGAATACGTGAAATAAATGAATGAGTGAATAATGGAATCATATCTGAATATAGTGATCATTTCAATTACAATGTACAGACTTGAGTTACTAAAGAATAACTTAAATATATTGATATATTATTGATCCGTTCAGTTTGATTACAGCCATCAGTTAATCATGTTAATGTACATACAGTATGTGTACAACAGAGTGTTGTAGTTTAATTCAATAAATATTTATTTTGTATGTTATTTGAATATATATAATAATATTTAATATATATATTGAATATAAAGATAAATAAGACTATAAAAACTTTTATAGTATAGTATAGTTATAGGATTTTGGAGTTTTACTCAACTTTCTCATTTTTATGTTTGAAAACACTTTTCTTGTTTTCCTTTAATGAAAACTGAAAATACAGGAAGGTACAGTGACTCTTATTGTATTATATATATATTATATCTATATTAGTATTATTGGAGGTTGAGTCTGAACAGAAGACAGATGAGAATAAACTGATAGGAGGAAGGTTTGTCTGTTGTTATCCCCTTTAGTACCACTCTCAGCCACTAGAAGGCATTAGGTTGTTTCCCTTCACACAGAACTCCACTTTAAATTCAGCCTTTTAACAGGAGAAATTCTCATCTTTGTCCTTAAAAACAGAAGATTGCCATTTGTCTCACCTTCTTTTTTTTTAATGGATACAACATTTTGGATCATTAAGAACGTCAGTTCTGCTTCCTTTTAATTTGTCACTGCTAATTGCCGTCCACATAGCCAGTCAATTAATTCAACCTAATTATAGCTCCATTTGCAAAAGCCTAATTGACACGTAGATCTGTCTGCTGAACGGCCAATTAGAGACGAGATGCATGAAATATTGCATGCATGAAATAAAATGATGGCGAGATCTTAACGATTTAATCAAATATAATAATTAATTAGAAGGAATCTGGAGGCTGATGAGATTATTAACGGAGGTTCTGACTAACAGCACACCAAACTCCATTCAGAAAACAGAGGATTTAAGTTTCAGCTTTATTTAACCTTCATTTTACAACCTAATCAATAATCACCAATAATTAATAAACATGATCTGATGTAGAAAAGATAAAGTGAATAAATGATTAATCAGTTCATTCATTCATTCAGTCCCTATTGTAAATGAATAAATAAGTTAGACAACTGAATGACAGAATGAATAAATCGATTAATGAACAGGTGTATTGATTAATGAATGAATCAGTAAATGAACTGATAGAAGGATTAATTAATGGATTAACTGGTGACTGGATGAATAAGTGAATAAACATACATACATTACTTAACTAACAGGTAAAAGTAAGTGAATGAATTGGTAGGTGAATGGATGAATATGAATAGTTAACTTGATTAACTGAATATGTGAATGAATGAGTTGTGTGTGGTTGTTGTCTGTGGTTATCGTGGTTGTTGTGGTTGTCTGTAGTTGTCTGTGGTTGTCTGTAGTTGTCTGTGGCTGTCTGTGGTTGTTGTGGCTGTCTGTGGTTGTCTGTAGTTGTCTGTGGCTGTCTGTGGTTGTCTGTGGTTGTTTGTGTTGTGGTTCTTTGGCGTTCCCTCGCCTCACCTCATTTGCATTAATCGCTGATGTTCAACATCTCTTCACGGCTGCTGATCAATAGTTTATCAGCTCCCTCAGGAGAGACTCCAGCTTTGTTGGTCCTGTACGAACCGACCAGACCAACTCTCTCTGAGCTCCTCCGGCTGCTTCAGGCTTCAGTGGACTCCTGCTGAGTCGGGGGCCCCATACTGAGCTGAGGGGGCCTCCTTCTTATCAACACACTGTAATTCATCTACACAGCAGGACGGAGCTGCTTCTATTAAACCAGCAGCTTCTGAAGGGGGACGGAACAAAAACTCATCTCAGGAATCACACAAATATCCGTCGTCAGGGGAAACCTATTAATATTTATAGATACAGATTTTTAGATTTAGTTATTAATTGATTCATTGGTGGTCTATAAAATGTTTCTCAGAGCCTCAGGTGACGTCTTCAAACAGTTCAGTAGAGCTACAAAAAATAAGGATTAGTATTTTAGTTGCGGCCAGCTGCCCCAGTATTTCCCAGTAAGGTAACGTTAGGCAGCTAAAAATATATTCCACAAGCTTTAAGTAATGTTAGCTTTGTGTTGGACTCTGTGTTGTGATGGATGTAGTTGAGTAAGATGTTCCCCTTCGCCACGTTGGCACTTGTAGGCCGAAGCGGAGAGAGAAGACACTCGGGAGCATAACAACCTTTGACCCTCATCCCTACAAACATACGGTTGAGGAATGTCTAATTTCTTCCAACATGTTCACTTATTTGAAATAAAGAGTGATTAATAACAGTCAGAATCTTACACATTGAACCTTTAATTCATTCAGAATTAACTCTGATCACTTTGAACTCTTTGTAGTATTTCAGAATAAAATGCTGGATTTGATAGCAGCTTTCAGAAGAAGCTCCCATCAGTCAGAGAAGATGTGTTCGGCCCCTGCCTCTCTCAGCCTCGCATGTTGGCCGGCTTGTTCCTTCTACATTATACAGGTTTTCTCTTTTTTCTACTGCCAAGTCTTTCCATTTTCTCCTCGCCAGCTGGTCAAGGGTCTCCTGCTGCCGCTAGGGCCCACAGCTCACTTCCTACTTTCTCCAGCACCTGTTCCTATTTGGCAAAGCCGACCGGGATCCTGAAAGCTTGGAGACGAGCCATCTGCTGCCCAGCTCTGCACCATTTTACCCCCCGATCCCTCGAGTCTCTGCATGCAACCCGTTTTTTTCTCCTCTTCCAGCTCTGAAACACACAGCGCCGCTGAACGATGGAGTGAAAGCTGAAATGCAAATCCCAAAACCACCATGTAGCTGAAGGGAAAGGCTGCGCAGGTTAAATCAGAGAAGGACACGTGTAGCGGGGCGCAGCTACCTCATGCAGGCGGAGTGACTGATAACTGTAATTTCTGAAAGTTATTCTGCCCTTCACGTCGCAACAACGCCTTATTTCTATTGTGTCACCATAATAGACTTTCTTTAACTTACAAATAATGTTTTCAAACTTCTCAGGAACTCAATTTCTTTGTATTTTTATATCAACAATCAATCATTTTATCTTCCTGTAAAACTAAATGTGACGCATGCTTACGTCAGCATGAACTAACTGATCTCCAACATATTCTGACATTCACCCGTCAATCAATCTTCAACTTTTAGCTTCACAGAGTGAAGATCATTGGTTAGCTTAACTGATTACAAACACACACTTTATCAGTGATTTAGGTCAACTGGATCTCATATTTTATGGGAGAATATTGTCTGGTTTTTCCTTCTGACGTCCTCCGCTCACTGATAATGTATCTGCTGTTAGTGTGCAACTGAACGGGGCTCAGCAGCCTCCCAGTGAACACAACCTCCCCTTTCTGTTTCATGAACTTTAGAGATGTAAGATTTGGTGGATTTGGTGGCACCAGGGAAACCCAGACTGTGCTTACATTAGGCTGTTAAACCAACTTTATTCATAACACAGGAAGACAAACTCATGCTGTACAGTTCAAGTAAGGTTTCTCAGTTTCTTGAGTTTTTCCATTTATACCAGACTTCCAGACTTTTTTGTGGGGCACTGATTTATTAACAGGCATGCAAGTTTGTAGAATTACATTTATGCCACTTTTAAAAACAAAATAAAAATGGATTAATGAGTCCTGTGTGTAAATGTGTAGGTATATGTGTATATAAATAACTGTATTATAGTTTTATTGTATATTATTTTATATTATATTATATTTATGTGTACATAAAGCAACTATAAACTTGAATTTTTATTTATACGCTTTATGTTGTATAATGTTTATTAATCCCCTTGATTCCCTGATATATATTACGGAAGCATATTGCATTCAACTTGAATATTAATTTTTTTGGTTTGTTTTTCAGAGTAATTTATTTTATGATTGCCTTTTCGGAGTGATTTTTTTCTGATTTTTCTGACAATTTTGTTTTCTGAGTTTAGAGAGCGGAAACAAACATACCGGCTTGTTTAGTTCAGGAAGTTTGACTTTGATCTGGGTTTAAGACACTGGGAGATAGTCCTGTCTTTAAGTCCATATAGATGGTGTTATCATTAGTTTGTCGACTCTACGCAGACACCTGAGGACTTTGCGGTTGTTCAGAAGGAAAGCCCATTCAGATCTGCTAGACACAGCAATGTATACATAGCAAAATTGTCCCGGTATGGTAGATAGTTGGGGCAGATGAGTTGGGGCATGTATGTGCGGGCAGAAGTCACTATAGGTCCATGGGAGTCACTGCAGGTTGGAGGTTCGCACGGGAGTTTGAAGTATTCTCGATAATTCAGGAAAAAAATTACTCTGAAAAACAGAAAAAATGATTAAAATAAATAAATAAATAAATAAATTACTCAGAAAAAACGCCCTTTTAAGTGAATGCTACGGAGCCCCTAAAGGGACATGGGGAAAAAAAATGTCCCATGTCCCTTTAGGGGCTCCGTACAATACGCTTCCGTAAAATATAAAGAAAAAATAAACTAATAAAAATAGATAGTTATATTTATATTAATTTCTCGCAGTTTGTACTTGTTGTTCCGGACTACAACTCCCATCTCTACAGTGACCTGTGTGCCTGCTGCGCATGTGCAGAAAGGTGGGGCGCGCGAACCCATGCGGATATACCGCTATGTAAAATGGCGGCGTGAGAGAGGCTCGTTCAAAACAGCGGTTTTTTACCTGAAACGGAGGTTAATTAACATCTGTGAGCCGGTGAGCGGAACCAGGAGCGGCCCGGGAATCAGCCACAGAACCGCCCACAGAGTCAGCCACAGGTCCAGGTCGGAATTTACATTCCCGAAAAAGAGGTTCGTCGACTTTAAATGAAATAAAATTAGCCCGTAAGAGGAGCTAACGTTAGCTGCTAACTGCTAATGCTAACGTTAGCAGCTAACGTTAGCTGCTAACTGCTAATGTTTAGCTTCAAAGCGTTGTTTAACATGGCGTTAGCTGTTAGCTGCTAACTGCTAATGTTAGCTGCTAACTGCTAATGTGCGGGCCCGGTTGGCAGTCGTTAGCTCCGCGGCTAACAGCCTCAGGGGGGATGTTAGACACACAGACGGATTATTAGAAGTATTTTCGGTTCCTGCTCAGTTAAGAGTTTAATTATTTCAGCCGGTTAACTGTTAATTAGACTGAAATGTTAGTTAGCATCCTCGCTGCGTTGAGGAAACGCTCGTTAGCCTTATTAAAGGGAGCTAACTATGTTCAGCTAACTTTAAACCGGTTTCAGTATCAGATGATTGATATCAGATCGATATATTGATTGACTGGAAGAAGGTGTTTGAGTGAGGTTTGTTCACACACTCGGT